TATATACCTGTTTATATTCATTGTCGTATTTGTATGATTTTTGGATCGCGCTTCGCTTTTGTACGATACCCCCCCCCCATCCCTCGCCCCCTTCTCGTCTTTACCAATACGAGTGACCCTACCAGAATCTAATGTTTCCAAAGGTATCGCCCGAGATTTTATGGGGACACACATGCCCAGCCCACTTTGACAAGGTTCAGTACTCAGTTGTATAATTTAATGCTTACTTATTCCTTTGTTCAACCTGCTTCTATCGATCAACTCAGATACCTTTTTATATACGGTACTTAGTAACTTACCTGCCTGCAGCACCTGTCTGCGTAAGAGCATTTTACTTACTCTATGTATTTAATTGCTATCCGAAAGACTCGATCCGATTCGACCATCCAATGAACGAATTATTTCCACAAGGTAACCACCTAGCCAGCCGGCCCAGCAACCTGCATATGTGTCAGTAGTGAGCGAACGGATCGGAAAAGAACAGAGTTCGTGGTTAGTTAGTTGCTGATGGCCTTCAAAACAGACTAACCTATTTACAGAATTTCAACTGCTGCTATTCAACATTACCTACTACCAATATTTCGTTGTGCAATCTACTTTCTTATCTCTTCGTGTATCAACCGAACAACCAGCCCCATCATCATTTTCACCATCATCCTCTGCATCATGTAGATCTGAAACGAAGCAGCCTGTCCTTATTCTACAATTTCATCCTACTAATTTCATTTCTCTGAAATTTTGAAAGAACAAGTTGCCTTCTCAATATGTCCGTTCTGAGTTAATGTTGCCCAGTATTATTCTTTCTCATCGAATAGTGCGCAGTGTTTGCAACCCAATCATTCTTGCTTCATTTAATTTGAATCTTCCTTCTTTCTATTTTATCAGTTATTTATTAATCGGCAACATCAACGGGTTCGAACAAACCTGCAATCAGTCAAATCGTTCGTCCGTTATAATCAGCCGATTTAGCGGACGGTCACCCTCGTCGGTATTTTTTTTCATAAATCGCCTGCTAGCAGCCGCTGACTGACTTCGTTCAACTTCATCGCATAATGTGTTCACAGATTCATCACTGGTTCATCGACACTTACACGACAGATCACAGGATGATTGCCGTATGGCTTGCTGGTTGACCGCCTGCGTTGGATTGTTTCTACTGGTATTCAGTTCTGGTGTATTCAGTCATACAATAGTTGATGGGTGCCCAAAGCACGAATCGTCGAATCGGATGTCTTTGTAATTGAACAGAAATTCGAATCGACGTTCGACCTGTGGTCACTCGCTAGTTATCATAAGTCATGTCACAGAGCTGTCGTCACTAAGTCATGTAATATATCATTTACTCATCCAAACACCTACTGTCGATCTCTGGACAAGCTTTCATCACCGCTTCATCTCTAGGCATATATATATATATATATATATATA